CGTCATCCGTATATCTGAAACTTCATCTACAACGGCAGCTCAGCTCTAAAACCATCCCCGCCGTTGAACAATTATGTTTTTGCCTGCATTCTGCAAACCTGAAGGCAACGTCGACCTGCTGATGAACGGCGAATGTTGTCCTCATTTCGCCGTTTACGAGATATCGAAATGCCAGCCGACCGCTCGGTTTTGACAGAAATTCGATCCGCGCTAGGCTGTTCTAGTTTCTACTGTTTATGTCCAGATTGGCTGCTCAAATGACTATCGATTCTTCAACAACGCCATAGTCCAAATAATTTTCAGTTATATTGTTAGTCATCTATCTTGGGAGCAACGTTGCTACATGTATATCTATCGTATTCTTCCTGCGGTCAGGAACTTTGCATAATTTACGAAAAGTCGAACATCATCGACCCGTTGGTCAGCTGTCAACACCTGGACGACTTGAATTGGCTCGTAGTCGAGGGGAATCTAACCAGTGGAAATACGTCTCCATCGCTCATGGTTTTGGTCTTTTTCCTAGAAAATGTAACTCTCCGGCTACACTGTATAATTTTTCAACCGCGATAATGGTTGACCCACTTGCATAGTCCGGTTTATGAACCACAAGTTAGTGATCACTTGTTTTACGAGGTTCTTTGTCCAGGATCCAAAAGTGGGTGCCTATCGGTCTGATGCATGACAATTCGCTTCTTATCAGGTAGTTTTTTAGATGGTGCCGATGCTTGGTTTTGCCGATGAAATCTTTGTGACATTGAATCCGATAGCGTCGATCATTTTTCGTAGTCAGTAAGGTCTACTGGGCAGAGACAGCTGCTTTTCTCATGCTCCCTTAAAGAGTCGAATTAAAGCAGTAATGTTGTCCGTGTGATTTAGCTTCATGGAATTCTTCTCATTTTCTAAGCTGCTGTTCATCCGGAATTTATTGCAGTTTCTTTGCAATGACATTAGTGAAGAACTTGTAGGCTTTTGGGATCAGGCAGAGTCGACGAGAGCTCTCCTGATCTTCCCTGACGCCCTCGATGTAAAACAGGATTGTTTCTGACTCGTTCTAATTTCCCGCAATCATTTTCGTTTCTAAGCACTGAACATCTCCTTTATACACCCGTAGTGCTTTTCACCATCTGCTTTGAATATTTCAACTGTCAGACCTTCATTCTCTCCGGCTGTTCCTTGCCTCAATTGCTGAGGGCGTGTCGAACTTCGCTTCTGAATTACTGGAGTGCACTTCTTTCTCGTAGCTGAAATGATGATGGGGCGGTGTGTGAAAGTTGTTGCAGATAGACTGCATCTCTGCTCTTCATCATCATCATCATCATCATCATCATTTTCTCTAATTTTGGCAATTGAAAGTTCGTTAAGTGCTGTTTCAGATTTCGTCCAAGAGTTTTGCAGTGAAGCGAATACTGTATCATGTTTGCCAACTCATTTATTATGTTGCTTCCTTTCTTTAGGAATCGTTCCTTTTTAGTGTCCTTGAAGTTCCTTTCTGATCCTGGCCATAGTGGAATAACTGCCATAGTAAAAACATTGCGTAGAAATTAAATAAATTAACAAGTCAACCTGCATATTACTACCTAACGGATCGTAATCAGATGTCATACCTGTTGTTTGCTAACACGATGAAGGGTAAGAGAAATCTGTTATGAAACCATGTGGTGCAGATCAACGTCATTCCAGAAAATACATTTCACGAAATTAATTCGAACATATTTTCCGTCTGTAACTGTCCATAAATCTTGTTAAGATGACAAAAATTCTTTATAGAGGCTGAAAAAAGTTCATAATGATGTCAATATGTAAAGTTCAGCCCAAGACTGTCCTTTAGTTTTACACTATCGCAATGTTGGTTCAAAGTAGGAAAACTTTTCCTTTATTTACAGCATACGGTTCTGACGTTAATACTTTCCATCTTTATATTTCATGCATTATACTGACCAGCAGTATCAAAATCTTCCCCCTTCCTTTCCGTGAAGGGTAGCCCGAACATCGAGGTCTTATTTTATGTCATCACTGATAAGGAATATTTGAGGATCTTAAATTTTGAGTGAATTGACAATGTAAAAAAAACGTTTTAAACACCTGTGTAGAGCTTGAAATCATAAACAACTTCAATATGATCACGTATGCATCGAGTACCCAATAATTTCCCTCCAGTTTTGAGATGTTAGGCGATCTTGGGCAAGGCGAAGAATAACATCCATTGCTCGCCAGCAGCATTAAGCATCTCAGGGCTGATTTTATCAATTCGAGTGGAATTGCTAGCGTTTTGCAAATTTTGAGACTTGAGCATTAATATGCATTTACTGCGGCCTTCAAGGGAGCATAGATACCTTTGATATGGGTTACGAAGAGACAGATCTATTAATCGCCAAAGTATATCCGCTTGCTTGCAAAACAAGAATTTCAAGTTGTCGTTTAGGACTTTTAGAGTGCCCATCTTTTCAAATCAGATACGGTGAATGATATGCTACAGTTCTATGTTTCCCGCCTTCAAGTTAGATGACAGAACTTCAAAGAACTTTTTCCGTGAATCAGATTTTCTTAGAGCCTTTTCATTCGCGACTGCCCTTTGCCCTTGTTTTTACCTCAGACGAATTGAAGGCTCTTTTCCTTCCAACTAGCTTCTTGAATGCAGCCTTCTTCTAATTGACGTAAGTCGAACCTCTTGTGTCCATCACACAGAGTTCATTTCTGACAGCAGGGAGGAACGCCAACCTGTATTTAAAGTCATTATTGAGAGAGAGCCCAGATTAAGTCGAATATTAAGAGCTTCAACTCGGTTTTCACACCAGTGACTCACTACAAAGATCTGTCACATCGTCCTGCATTCTTGTTTGCGCATTTCATACTCATATTTCCAGAAAATACCCTTTCCATTTGATAATCAGGTTGCTTCTGCCGATGTGTTTCCGTAAGACATTCAGTTCATTTACAGCGACCTGTTCCACCAAGAAAGTGGTGATCACTTAACATGTCTGAACCTCTTTTAACTCGAACTTCCATCAGAGACCGTCATACGTCAGACAGTATTATTATCAAATCAGTCATCGACTTCCGAGTTTAAGCTTTCCTATACCAAGTGCACTGATGCATGCTTCGATGGTCGGTATAAGAGGTCATAACAGACAACTAATGATCGGCGCATCAACTTAATATATTCATATGTAATTGTTGCAAACGCTATGACTGTTCTTGTTGATTCATATTTCACTTTCAGCGTCTGCCACGACATCTGGTGGTACTACGAATCACAAGGAACTCCGTTTGCCATGGCACCTTCTGCTCTATCCAAGAAGTATGTGTTCTCTCTCTGATTCAAGTCGATGCAA